TATTTCTAAGCAGAAGGTCATGTGCTCATTTAAGGTCATTGACCTTGTTTGACCTTTTGAAGGTCACGAGGACCAAAATCATACGAGACTGTTCCGAGTTTTGCATTTCAATAAGCGACAAAGATTACGCGGGACAGTATGTTTCTGAAAACAAAATGCTGAACTGGGTCACTTTATGCCAATGACCTATTCTGACCTCTAAGGGTCGGTGGAAGATGTATAATGCGGCTCCTGCTACCAATAAATTCGAAATGAGCACCAGAAACTATCCCATACGATAAGCCCTATAGTAATAAAACAGGATGGTTTTGACCTTGGTCTGACCTTCATGCCTGACCTTAGGTCAACGCAATTTGCTCATTCAGTATTTGTGTTGCCTAAGAAAGTATCTCAGAGATGTATAGCTTCGTCTAACATTCCGTTGTTGCACTAGCTTGGATGATTCCCGAGAAACTGACTTCGCCGAAACCACGGCCTGACTTTGACCTGCCATAGGTCAGCGACCTTACAAGGTACATCAAAATGTTTGACACCAAATGATCTGCTATTCAATTGTCTACAGCTACGCAAAATTTGGCGCGGCTATGCCCCGCCGTTCGGAAACCATTCTGGAAAAAACTTCAGGGGGGGCAATTTGACCCCCCACCCGAGAGCGTGTTAACACAACATAACCATGGGAGGCGGCAAGGTGACTGCCCGGTACAACTAGTGTGTTTCAAGAGGAGGGTTCACGATGTCCAAAAATGTGAAACGTAACATGTGGATAGGCATGATCAGTCTTGACACTCATATGAGCTGCATTAAGAAAGTTGCCAGCAAAATACATCCCTTTCAGTGTTCGAACACACACCGAGTTGAAGCGAGTCCTGACACTGAGTTAGCACAACAACTATTTCTCTCCTGTGAGTTCCTCTGCTGAAACTTAGTGACTTTCAATATATCAGAAGGCAAAGGACACATCAAAGTTTTAAGGTGTGATTGATATACACACACACATATATATATATATATATATATATATATATATATATATATATATATATGTGTGTGTGTGTTGTGTTGTGTGTAAGTTGTGTTGTGTATGTGTGCATAGATAATGAAAACATCTGTTGTTTCCAATGGTGCTAAAGTAAAAGGGTCAGCAAAAAATAGATTAAAAAACCTTGAGTGCATCAAGAACACAAAATGTTTCAAATTAGATCCCAAGGTCTGCAGATACCAAGATGCCAGGATAAATCATCACTCAAGCTCCCATATCTGAACATCCCATACAGGGCACTATGGTAACTGCCAAAAGTTGCTTGAAACACAAATAGCCAAGCAAGTCTTGATGATATTTTGTAATTAAAATGCTCAGAATGTTCTGATCATGGTCATCAGTGAAATATTCTAGGTTTTATATCTGAGCACCAGATATCTACCCACACTATGCCAAATGTTGTTACCTCAATTACAGAGCACTATGTCAACACGTGTTCACAATAACACAATCATTTTCCCAATAAATGATGAGCTTGATGGGCTTTTCACTTGTTTCAAACACTTTTGACCTTGTTTAACATTTCCAAAATGCATTCTAATGGAACTGCAACCTGCACAGACACTCCTTCAGCTCCCCCATTGTCAGCAATTACTTGCAATGCACAGCCATCCAAAGGTGGACTCCGCACCCAATCACACAATCCAATGCCAGGCTAGTTCACCTGTCTACCTACTGTGCTTGCCTAATGCAGGTGGTGCATTATTCTCACCATTAGTCTGACTAATGCATGAATGAGGGCACAGCAAGTGTGGGACAACAGGCTTTGAAAATCCTGTGTGTAGCAAAATTTGCCACATGCTATTGCTGTCTAACAAATCACATTCACTAACAATTGGTTGTACCCAATACTGTATGATAAAGTACACATGTCTATCTGCCTAGCATATATATATGTTCAGCTCCATGTCGCCAACCAAATCTTATCATCCAAACGGCATGGGTCTGTTGTTCATTTTTCGACTCCATGGGGCTCACAAACTTGTCAACTCCAATCTGAAACCTGCCTCAGTAAATTAACATCTGGCTCTGATGTCAATTTCACTTTATATTCCGACCGTTACGGAAATCACCCAGTTGCTGTGCGAACAATAGCCGGGCCCACGTACGAAAAACAACATACCTGGCGTCTGCCGCGAGGCCTATCCCAGTGGTTCGGTCATTTAGCGCCAAAAATAAGCAAAACTTTTGTCGCTCCTGCGCGAGAATTGAAATACCACTCTGCTACCCGCGATAAAGATGCTGGATCATATCCGTGAAAGAATATTAAAATGATATGTCCGCGCGCGTGTCAGCTTTTTCTCCACTTGCTCTAGTTTTCTGGTGACGGTCGTCTGTTCGTCATTGAAATTAAAAAGCAACTCGCTGATGTTTGGCATCTACTGGTTGGCCTAATGTTTCGGAATTACTTATTCCAATTTCAAAGGTACACGCATACAACATACAAGCGACGAATATATGATTGCATGTTACAGTTAGGTGTGACCAACACGGTATAACAACTAGGTGTAATCAAGTTCAGTTCAATTCTTTACTTGTGCAGAGTAAAAGGCTATCTTACTGTACAGAGTCAAAATTCGAGGACTGGCATTTTCAAGAGCATACGATTCAAGCGGTAAAACAAGCGCTCAATAATAAGATATATCATCCACTGATGATATTGATCGTCCTTTAATAAGGTGAAAGGTGACTGAGGGGTACGTCCGTTTGTTTTCTTCCGGTGGCAATGTTTTGATCGCGACAGCCTCCGGAACATAAAACTTCCTCCTGTTTGATAATTATCTTATGATGGTGATGTTTCTGGTGGCGTCGTCTCGGGTGATGTTCCGGCCGTACTCTTTTCTCATCTGCTCTTTTGGAGCACCGCCAGCCAAGTGCATCGTCAACCGCATTGAACGTGTGGTGACCTTACCATTGATAAGTTGTCCATGATGAGACGACGACGACGGTCAACTTGACCCCCTCCACTCTACTCGAGCGTAGGGTATCCAGACAGCCACTCGGGCGCGTAAGCCACGGACCGCAGCGCTGGGACACAGCGTTGGCCGCCCCCTGGCGGCCACGCTGTCCTCGGCTCCTGTCCGTTGACGGCTGCTCCGACATTGTCCACTGCGCTGGCCCGAGCCGCTCTCGGTGTCGTGGCCTGATCATCCTTACACCCTAATCCTGCACAGCGCGTCGGGTTACAAGAGATGTACATGTTTTTAATCAGCAGTTTTGAGGCATTAGAATCCCTACCCTCGCCCACATACACTTAAGGTTTTCCGTGGAACAACTTCCGAATGGTTTGGATATCGTAATACCATTTCAGGTTCAGGAGTTTACATCAACTTTACATGTGCTGTTCAAAGTTTAAATTTCTGACCTTGGTGGTTATGAGATATGCTCCCTTTCTCCTGGTGAAGTCTGTGAGATTTTGCTTTAAATTTATTGACGTATTCAAAGAGGTTTTCTAGACTGCGAGGTTCCAGCCCCCGGATTGCTAAACTAATGGCGTCCAGCCGCCGGCCTTTGCAGTGCAAATAAAAAACAAGCTACGAAGAACGTGGACGAACATGGAAACAATGCGCAACAACATATCCTGCGTCTCATTTAGGCATTGACTCGACTCAGACCCCCTCCCCCATTCTTCCTACACTGTTGATGAAGGGAGAGGGGTGTGTGGGCGACACGCTATTTTCAGTTGTGGAGATTTGACATTTACGTCACGGAGCTGCATGGAAGAAGGTGAGTACCATGGAATCACTTTCGAGAGCGTTTCGTCGTCTACATCCTCCTTGGTCACATCATATATGATACTCGAGTTACACCGAACGGATCTATTAAGCCAGAAATCCACACTGTACCGTGACAGCCGATCACATCGTCTACCGGATCAGAATCATCAGCGTGTTCTGCCGCGCATAAAAAACGCATTAGCAGAAATACAAAACTACAGTGTAAAGTCAAATATCAAAGTTAAAACGCAACGAGCAGAACAAGCACAGGTACCGACCCGCCAGCTGCAGGCATATCAGGCAGCAGGCGAAGTCCCGCCCCCGAGAGCGTGCGGTTCGCCAGAGCTCGGCGCTGCTCCGACACCGGTCACGGTCCCTCGGGCGGTCACTGGACGGATCATGGCGGCGGCGGCAGGGCGGCGCGGCGCGCACCGACCACAGCCGGCGCAGACACCTCGGGCATCGCGGCACAGGACAAGACAGCCAGCACAGACACGCAGGGCGCTGCGGCACCGGTCAACACAAAGCAAAGGTGTGCAGGCCACCGACGGAATGGCAGCCAGTCTATTGGAAACAGCGCTCGCACGGATGAGAACCCAACCACAGCCATATAGACACTTGTGGCCTGGTCCAGCAGCGCCTGCATAGTTCGCCACTCAGATCAAAAAAGTTTGTGACAACGAAACAAGCACAGCACGTGAATAGACCATCTGTCATGCGGAGACCACTAGCATACATTTGTCATACGGGCCCGCTACTGGCCTTTGTGCGCTTCGCTGCTGGTGAGCGTCTCCGCTGGATATTACTGCAGCTGAAAGGTGTGGCGGCGTATACTTATGGCAACTGGAATGAGACCGATGAGGAATCGTGCACATGGCAATAGACTCCACACACGTAGTCTTGTAGCCACCCGTTAAAACTAAGTTAGGTCGCGAAACTAAGTAAGTCAGACACACATGAGCCCATATCAACTTAAATAGAAGGCATTTTAACTCAACTACGCAACTTAACATGAATATACAATGGCAAATCAGTAGCACTTTGAAGGCCAACAGTACATATTCAACGGCAATTCAATTTAACGGCCTTAAATACCGGCGTGCGTTTCCTATACCGAACGTGAGGCAACGCGAATCGAACCAAATGCGTGTTCAGAAAACACTTGAAGGGCACTATAGTGCCATTTGTGAGTAATCAAATGACCCGTGTTGGTTACGCTCATGGATCTAGCGTCTGACCGTGGTCCAAGGCTGATCACAATGCTACTGGTGCGAAGTGTTGTACGACGTACCGAGCTTGCTGCGGGCGTCCTCCGACGTACCGTGCTTTCTGCGGGCGTCATCTGACGTACCGAGCTCGCTGCGGGCGTCCTCCGACGTACCGAGCTCGCTGCGGGCGTCCTCCGACGTAACGAGTTTGCTGCGGGTGTACTCCGGCATGCCGCGTTTGCTGCGGGCGTCCTCCGACGTTTCGTTGTTTCTGTGACCGACGCTCAACATCGCCCGACACCACCAGGCTGTCGGCGTGGTGCATCGGCTGACGTGCTGCGGCCGTCACGGGGCCGGGCCGTCACGGGACGCCGTGGGCCGGCCTCCGTCATGGTGCCTGCGTGTGCCGGCTGGTCAGCTGGCGTCCTGCCAGAGCTCGCCGCCGGCCCGGCGCGCCAGGCGCAGCTCCGGCAGGTTGGTGGGACGGCACACCGGCATGTGCTTCCAGGTCGGCCGCCACGTATCCGGCAGCTGCCAGTCGAACTCGGCCACGAACGCGCGGCACGCCTCCTGCCGACGGCCGCGCATGCACCTGTCACAAGGCGGGACAGACGGCGGCGGCGGCGCGCGCGCCACACCTCGACACCACGCCTGTTGCGCATGAGAGTGGCTGTGTGAGGGACGTCACGCTGGCTGAGAGGACCGCGCACGGAATGACGCCCGCCAAACGTCCCACCTGATACACATATGCATGTGAAGCATGAGTCCTTGTTCTGAAGATAATTGAAGCGTGTTGTAAGTGGTAGTACTGGTTGAACAGATATCCAGGGATCACTGAGAAACATTGTGAGAATATTTAACGTTTTACGACTGTGCTCGCGGAGACTCATAGCCATGGCCACCGCCTTGAAGCGGTGACTTCTCATCATACATCTAAATGATTGGCCATCTCCACGCTTAACCCGTGCCTCATGGCATATTGAAGGTCGGCAGTTTTCAGCACAACTGATTATACCGATTTCTTTTTCTTATTCACTTAATGTCTTCCTCGCTTATATCAGTAAGCACGGGGAGTAAGGGGAACCTGGCAGCATGAAAATCTAGGAAACTTCAGCCGATATAAAGTCCGTTTGGTCCTGAACATGACAGCAGCCAACATCATCACACCACACTTCAAAATCGGTGGTCGCCACGCAGGACTGCGTGCACGAGGTGAAAAGCACATGCGAAGTGGGAGAGGGGCGCCGGAGCTTCGTGGCCAACTGGAGGCCTGTATTGGGCTGGCCAACGCTCATTTGAAATATGAAAGCCTCGAGTTTTGGCAAAATTACAACACGGTGCGGCAGAACCTGTGTGAAAGGCAACGTTCACAATACCGCACTTCACTGTCATGTAGCCATTTAGCTCGTAACATAATATCAACATTCTTCGCCTCCTTTGCCCTGACGTCGTTCCAAGCAAATAACGCCCCGAAACCAGAAATTTATAGCAGCCCGCCGTGAGCAGCAGCACTGTCCTGTATAACACTGTTGTGGGCTCACGTCAGCCAAGGACTCTGGCGTCGGCACGTGGCTTATATTACACCACTACTTACACTAGTCACACTTATGACGACCACCAGGTAAGGGCGCGCCGGCTTGAATTCTAGACTATGTTTCTTGTTCGAATATATATATATATATATATATATATATATATATATATATATATATATATATATATATATATATATATTCGAACAAGAAACATAGTCTAGAATTCAAGCCGGCGCGCCCTTACCTGGTGGTCGTCATAAGTGTGACTAGTGTAAGTAGTGGTGAATAAGCCACGTGCCAACGCCAGAGGATTTACGAAGCGACGGCAGAAAAAGAAACGAAGCAGGAATGTGGTCCTATTGGACTCTTCTCGCAATGATTAGAGTTGCTTCTGTCCTATACAAGGATAGCCCAGAAAACAAGCGCTTAATCCGCAAGACCAAAAAATATATCTTGGAAGATAATTATTGACGAATCTGCTGTTATCCTTAACAATCAGTGCTCCTCTACAAATGGCTTCCGAAATGCACACTTCTACTTCTAACTTCTTCTTCTTGCATGCTTCTTTATTCCCGCACATCATGGGTGCATAATGACAACACGTATATATTTTAGAGCACGCTTCCACGAAAATTATTGAATGAACTAATCATGAAGTGGCAAAAGCATTCCATTGTCCGCTCCGGAGATATGGAAGGGAAGAAATGTCCCGGAGCTGGTGGGTATCTAAATAACAGAGCTGACAATTGTCTAGAACAATAGACGCTATACCTTCAGAATGTGCTGGTACATCTTCTCCCCAATGCAGTTTCGCGGTCCTCCGCCAAAGCAGAACAGCTTGTCTCTGTCATTCTTGTTACTGCAAGACATATCACAAGCAGCTTAATGACTCCACTTCATAAATTTTCGCAGGAATGACACGATAGAAGAAGTGAGCTGGAAATGATGTAAAAGTACGTGACCAACCGAGATGCAAAGCCAAACAAGTAGCCAAACACAGGTCTGCGTTAAATCATTGCTCCTATGCCAAATTCAAAGCAATTAAGCCCAATCACATGAAAGGCGTGTCAAAGGACCGGCCCCTAAACCTTGGCCTTCACGCAGCACCCGGTGACTGGCACTGGGAGAGGGCACAGTCGACCTTCAGAAGAGCTGCAGACCACCGACCTGGTCCTCCAACGTTCCGGGTCAAACGTGTCGGGCGCGGGGAACACGGCTGGGTCTCGGTGTGCCGCCGCCGTGCCGTAGACGACAGCCTGGCCGCGGCTCAGCCGGTACCCTGCGGACACGCCGGACGGTCTCAAGCCCACGCCGGTACACACACATGGTCACCCGCACACGCACGCACGCACGCACGCACGCATTCACGCATCTCCGCCCGCGTGTCCGGTGATGGTGGGAAGGGAACAGAGAGAAAGAGTAAACTCTGTCTCGTCGGCTCCAGGGTGGCGGATGACGCAGTGGTCTGGACCAGAGCTGGGGTGGTGAGCACGGCACCCGGCTGCAGCGTCACAGTCACCGAGGCCGGCTGTCGGGAAGAACGCAGCCGACACTCGGCGGACAACAGAGGACAGAGGGCAGCGGTAGGGTGACGGCCCACCCGCCACCCGGGTACGACCCAACCGCAACTAGGGCTCGGCCCACCCGCCACTTGGGCTCGACCCACCTGCCACCAAGGTACGACCACCTGCCAATGGGGCTCGACCCACCTGCCCCTAGGGCCCGACTCACCCGCCAATAGGGCTCGACTCAGCTGCCCCTAGGGCTGGACCCACCTGCCACCTGGGCGTCGCGCCTGACGAGGCGCCGGCCGCCCAGGAACGGCGGCTGCAGCCGCTGCACCTCCAGCAGTACACAGTCCAGGTCCTCCTCGCTGATGTGGCCGTCCGCGCTGACGTAGCGCTGCCGGCCGAGGAACGGTCAAGCGGGACCCGACGACAGATGTCCAGACGGTACATGGGCCGTCCGGCAGCTCAGCGCGCCAAAAGAGGTTGCGCGGTACGGTGGTGAAGCGACTCGAGAGGGACACAGTGATGGTGATGGGCTCTGACCTGCTTCCAGAGGGGCGACAGGACCACGGCGGAGGTGAGCAGCGAGGCCAGCGCCTTGGGGACTAGCGCTGACGAGCAGAGCAGCAGGTGGTTCCGCCGCGTGTCCTGGTCTTCCACCGCCAGCTTCAACGACTCGATAAACACTGTCAACAGCCCGCCGGCGCGTGACTGGCGAGCACGCGGAGCCGCTTGATCGATTCGACAGCATAGCATAGACAGCGGACGATCAGCCAACGAAAATAGAAGCACGCCAGACAGCTTCGGCGACTCGAAAACCATTGCCTTGGCAGAGCACTGGTATGATGAGTTGTCAAGCACATCAGAATAGGTGAGACATGGTGCAGTTCGAGCGAAATAGAAAGGCGTTCTTCGATAAATTCTGAGTATGTACAAACGATATGGCGAGCGGTGACTGGTGCGTTACAACGCGGGCAGCATGGCCGGTCTTCACCACACAGCGGAGCGCGGGTGCTTTACTGTTGTTGTTTATTGGACTTTACGGGCGCGCCGACTGCGTTGGTCATTTGGCGCCCATACAGCAGAGTACAGGTGCATGTGGACTGAGGCACACTAGGCAGTTTCGACGACTTCGGAAACACTTTCTGCCACCGTTTGGCAACAGAATAAAGCAGTGTATCAAATTGTTTTAACGGCTCGCTACACTACTGGCGAAACATCGCCGGCGTATGGACTGACAGACAATTGGACACTGCTCCCATGTGGTAACCAAAGCAATCTATACTTGCTAAATATATCCGAGATACACAAGCATTCGTCAAGTAATTACAGGCGTAGAGTAAAACGCATCATAAAACGGTGAGCAAAAACACTTTTCGGGGTGTGTCAGTCGTCATCAAACGAGAGCTGTCTCACTAGATTGAGGTTCATCCTCCAGCATCTGATCTGCCAGCCCCAGAAGCTTCTCCTTGGCCTCCAGGGCTTGCTTGTAGGACGATGACGTCATCAGTGGTACACTCACCGACACAGGCAACGAGTAGAGTCCTGGCGGAGGGACGCCCTGTCAGAGCAGGGACTGAATGCACCACGCGAAAACAGCCGTGTCACCAATCGCAGCGTGTGCTACACGGAAAAAGTCAAGAGGTGACCGCCAGTTTAGAGATAATGCGCACGAAGAACAATATTTGCGCTCCAATCCTTTGGTGCACAGTGCTTGTTATATTGTTGTTAATTGTGGTTTTTGGGCGCGCCGACTGCATAGGTCATATTGCGCCCATAACGTTGTCATTTAGTTACGAGGTGAATATATAGAGCGAAATCCTATTTTTGCAAGGGGTGCACAATGCCCTGGTCGAGCAAGTACGGTTCGATCTCGGGTTAGAAAAAGGAGTTTTGGAGTCCAAACAGAGGTTTAGGAGGGCATATTATATATATATATATATATATATATATATATATATATATATATATATATATATATATGTACGTATACCATCCTCTGGGTGCGGTTAGCTAAAATAAGGTGACAAATTTGTCTTAAAGTTTAACAGATGTGTCGATAGAAGATGATCTTAAGCACTCCGTAGTGCCAATGTCACCGCAGGGAGAAAAAATAAACTCAGGAAACGCCAAGTCAGCGCGCCTACGGACAGTGTCTGCTGAGCCAGTGGGGTCTACCATTACTGTGCTAGCCGGTGGTGCCTGCCGTCACTTTGTCAGTGGGTGGTATCTGCTGTTGCTGGGCCAGTGGGTAGTGCCTGTCGTTCCTGTGCTAGGTGGTGGTGTCTGACATTACTCTGCTCGCGGATGGTGCCTGCCGTTGCTGTGCTACCGGATGGTGTCTGCCATTGCTATGCTAGCGGGTGGTGCCTATCGTTGCTGTGCTAGCGGGTGGTGCCTGCCGTTGCTGTGCTACCGGATGGTGTCTGCCATTGCTATGCTGGCGGGTGGTGCCTGCCGTTGCTGTGCTGCCGGATGGTGTCTGCCATTGCTATGCTAGCGGGTGGTGCCTGCCGTTGCTGTGCTAGCGGGTGGTGTCTGCCGTTGCTGTGCTACCGGATGGTGTCTGCCATTGCTATGCTAGCGGGTGGTGCCTGCCGTTGCTGTGCTACCGGATGGTATCTGCCATTGCTATGCTAGCGGGTGGTGCCTGCCGTTGCTGTGCTACCGGATGGTTTCTGCCATTGCTATGCTAGCGGGTGGTGCCTGCCGTTGCTGTGCTAGCGGCTGGTGCCTGCCATTGCTGTACTGGCGGGTGATGCCTGCCGTTGCTGTGCTAGCGAGTGGTGTCTGCCATTGCTGTGCTAGTGGGTGGTGTCTGCCGCTGCTGTGCTAGCGGGTGGTGTCTGCCGTTGCTGTGCTAGCGGGTGGTGTCTGCCGTTGCTGTGCTAGCGGGTGGTGTCTGTCTGCCGTTGCAACGTTAGTACGTGGTCTCTTCTCTTGACGTGGCATCAGACGGCGTTAGCCGTTACCTGGACGGTGTGTGGTGTCTACCGTAACTGCGCCAGTCGGTGGTGGCTACCACGAAGATGTCCAGTGTCTGCCGTCACCTTATACGTAAATGGGGTCTGCCGGCCTGTACCAGTGGGAAGTGCCTGCCGTCACTGCGCGTGGTTGGTACTGGTTACCGTATCAGTAGGTGGTAGTTACCGTACCAGAGCCAGT